AAGTGATACTTCTAAAAAAGAGTATATTGTCATCATGTAGCAGAGATTGTTCTAAACCCGGGACTTTCTAAGAGGACTGGTGAGAGCCCTTGTCTTCATCAGAACTCAAACTCTCCAAGCACATCCTGTATACAAGAGCTCTAGTTCAGAGACAAGAGAGCTTCCCATCAAGAGCTCTGTTACTTGGAAGATGCCTCTCTGGTGAATTTCTGTTCAGTCATCTTCCAGGCCGAGATAGCCATTGACTCTTGCTTGAAGAAAACATTACTTCACCATTTACCTCTTCAGGTCTAACTGTACCTATCTGGTCATGCCTGTAGACCTTTAAACATCACCATAGGAGGTGGATGTAGTCTCATAAAATCCATGTTATCTTCCTAAAAAAATCTACTTCTTCAAACAGTCATTATTTGATATGTGGATTCAATACATGGAGTCAGATAAGGAAAAGTCCTTAGATTTGGTAAATTTTTTAGCAAATGTTCAAATGGGAATGCAGGACACATTGATGTATACTAACACCTTCGAAATTAGTCTTCACATGACTCATATCCTTATTATATAGACATTTGAGATAGGTAAGTAGATCTTTTCCAACAGGCTCTTTTGTTTCTTATTCTTACATGCAAGAGGCATTGTGATTCTAGGGTAGGATGTCTGTATGGCTGATGAGGACTACTACAGAAAAAAAGGAGAGTGAAGAAGAAACTAATATTCCTTCCATTTATTTGGAAGATAAGACATAAAATTTGCTTAAAATTACAGGTATTATAATACAATACTTTTCTGAGCATGGTGGGGAATGCTTATAAACCCAATACTCTGCAGGCTGAGACAGGAAGATTGCAAGTTTGAGACTATCATGGGCTACACAGTGAACCCCCCCCGCCTCTCTCTCTCTCTCTCTCTCTCTCTCTCTCTCTCTCTCTCTCTCTCTCTCTCACACACACACACACACACACACACACACACACACCACACAAGCACTGTTTAATGAACTATGTAAGCAGAATAATGAAATTTGTGCTATAAAAAATAAGGATAAGAGTGATTTTCTATGGGTTACCTAATCAAGTTAGCTTCATAATATAAAGAGAATTCAAACTATCTAACACAAGCAAGAAGAAAACAACCTAGTTATAGTAAAGAATTTTGGCAATTGGGTACTAGATAAGAGTTCACTGAAGTCAGAGACTTACCATCCACCTGTTACGTGCCAGGTGATTTATAATCTCTCTCACATTTAATAATCATAGTCACTTTTGTGAGTTGTAACTATTCAGTAACCCCATTTTATAGATGAGAATGAAACTCAGGTTCGGTCAACTCGGTATCACACAGTAGAGTAACAGACCCTGTCTCCAAATCAGACTCTTAATGACTGCACCACTCCACACCCCTCCCTTCTTCCATCCCGTATTCGGTGTTTAGAAAAAACACTTCCTGTGCTCATTTGCCAGAAATAGAAGGATGAAGAAACATGAGCCAAGTTCTGGCATGGGAAACAGTTCCCAGTTGCTAGTTTCAATGTATGACTTTTGGAAAAGTCCCTTCTCTCTGTACCTCAGTTTCAATTCCATTCTCTCCAAGCTCTCTTCAGCTCTGAGCCCACCTGATACTGAGGGATCAAAAGTTAAGCTGAATAACAGAACCTAAATTTTTTTTGCCAAATAGTTTCTAGTTCCCTTTTTAGAAGAATGCTATTATGTACTAAAGGCCATGGTAAACTTACAATAGTAACATAGCTTCCTTATTCTGGGGCCAAATTTCTTTCTCTGCATATTCTCTCTATACTCACTTGCTTTCTCCTTACCATCTCTACCTAGTATTTTGACTATTGGCCTCCAAACAACATCTTGTTATGCTTGTTATTTTCCTTTTCTAAAGAGTTGAAGTAACTATATTGATAAAGGGGGAAGTAGTACTAATGATAGTTCAAGGGAAGAGGCACAACACGGTAAATGTTATAAGGCCACTAGGAAGAAATAAATGGCATATAGGTAACAGGTACGAGTCATAATGGAGGTAACATGGTAGAGGATTTGGTATCAGTTAGTATTGATATAATGAAAGATACATTTTAGAAAGATCAGTGGAGCACTGGTACACAGAATGAATTGGAATAAGAAATGGGAAAAGAAGCAGAAAGCTGAGTATGTGTCATAATAACTTCATGGCAGGCAGTAACTATAGAAAGGGAGAAAAAAGATCACGGCTAAGAGCCTTTTATGTAGCTAGGGATAGTCCACTGACTAGAGATATGTGGGAGTTATTTGTGTAGACATGGCATTTCAAAAAATGCAAAGTAGAGGAGATAATCAAGTAAAAGAATAAAACTAGAGAGGAAATAAAGTGCATTGAAATACATCTGTGTGGACAGGAAATGGTGAAAGAGAAAGTAGAGGGCCCTGGTTAGAACGTCAGAAAACAAAGCTCAGGAGAGACTACCCAACAGTACTGTCAGTGCCCACCTCTACTTTACAATTGAAAACACTGAAGCTGGAGAAAATGGATAATATGACGTGAAGTGAGTAATATGTCAGGAAGCAATCATGACTCAAGTCCCTGGATTCTCTACATTGTACTCTTTCCCTACTCTATTAATTTCTGAGAACCAGTGGCTAAAAATACACACACACACACACACACACAACCAAGTTGCTTCATAGAGTAAGGGTTCACATGGTAGCCTAGATTTTAAGGAAAGTGGGGGATAGATCTTAGATACCATAAGAAAACTAGGCTGAGCAGCATACAATAAGACTAACTTGACATGCTTTTGATTGGATGATAGGGAAATCACTACTGCATAAGCAGCAGGAGCGGGAGGGGCACGGCCGGCCGGAGGAAGCAGTGTAGGTGCAGATTATAGGAGGCATTGAATTGATTTATTAAATCCTGTTATTTGTTTTCTATTATGCAGAACACAGTTCTTTGAAGTTTCTGCCTTTATTCAATTCATTCCTCACCTATGCAGTCTTAGCTTAATCTCACCCTGGGAAGAATGCCATGAAGGAAACTGAAAATCAGGTTTTTCATCTGAGGCCCACAAGAGCATAGTTTTAATTCAAATAATTATTTGGTGGGAGTGTTGGGCCAAATCTGAGTGTGAGTCACTCTGGGAAAAAAAATAAAAGAAACCCACTTAGCAAAATCCTACAGGTCAACTTCTCAAAGATTTTCCAAACACACCTAAAATGTATCAAGGCAGCCAACTATCAGCTAGTAATGAGCATGGAGAGTTTGTTAGCATCACTTCTCAAGAGCAACAAGGCCAGCACAGTTATTGCACTTAAAAATTGTTATTGCTGCTATTGATTGCTGCCTCAGAATGTTCGTGACATATGTTTGAGTACTTGCTATATTTCCCTTTGTTTTTGCAAATGAGCTATTCTCCAGCCTTTTCTAAAGACTGGGCTGCTCTGTCTGATTTAAGTTCTGACTTAACTCTACCCTGAAGCTAGCTAAGCATGGTGGTACTTACCTGTTAGACCAGCAGATGCAGGAGGGCTGCAAATTCACAGCAGAACCTTTCAGAGAGAAAGAGGGGTGAGGGGAGGGGAGAGAGGGAGAGAGGAAGAGAGAGAGAGAGAGAGAGATGAAAGGATATTGAGATTCTAGAGAAGACAGAATCTTGCATCCACAACAGTGTCATGATTCCAAATACAAACATTTTTAGAACCACTTTTGTTTTTTTTCTATTGCTGGAAGAAACTGCCATGGCTCTGAAGTCAGTCTGATTAACTCCGTAGCATGAGTTTGCCAGCCTGCCGTGACAAAAGTAGCCCACCCTGGCTAGTTAGCCTCAGTCTTCAGAGGCCTCACTTTTGGGAGCACATTGAATGGCAAACTGGTTTCATAAAAGAAAATTGACTAGATGCTGTAAGGGATGACCACTATGAACATTTTTATCTCAAAATGCCAAGTACATTATTATGCTGGGAGTGTGAAGAAAGTGTTTACCTGTACATTAAGCAAGGTGATTCAGAGTGTATTTTCCACTTCTAAAAAGCTAGAGGTCAGAAACGAAACGTTTGTACCATAAATGATGTTTCTTATTAATCCACAAACCTCTTATTTTCTAGATCCCTCATTCCTTTTCAGAAACACACCAACACCTAAAATACTATAATAGCGCTCTCAATTATGTGCAATGGAATAACAGTGAGACGGGGTAATTTTGTGAGTAACAAGACCCATGACTCTTCATTAAAGACAGATGGCACTGAGCTGTTATCATAGCTATTTAAATCCAATACCAGCCAGTATTATGGGTCAGATTATGCTAATGAATAAAACATTCTTAGTTAGTAGTACAGCAGACCAAGCAGCTCTTGGCATGTGAATGCTTGAGCTTATAAAGGTTTCTGTGTAGAAAACCAGTCTTTGGAGCTCTGTAGATGTTGTCCACTTCCAGGGATTGAACAAAAACATTACTAAACAAATATCCATCCATTTTCTGTTAATATGAAAAGTTATCGTGCTGGGCTTGGTGGCACATGCCTTAAATCCCAGCACTAGGGAGGCAGAGGCAGACGGATCTCTGTGAGTTCGAGGACAGCCAGGGCTGTTACACAGAGAAACCCTGTCTCGAAAAATCTTATTTTTTTTTAAGTTATCAGAGGCTATGTACTTTATGAAGTAGTTTATGAATCTCCCAGTTCTGGTGGCCGGAGGGTTGAAATAATATGGTGACAGTGTCACAGCAGAGCATCACAACTTGGTGCACCATCAGAAAGAGAAATGGCTGCTGCAGAAAGGGCCAAACACTGGGGAAGCTTTGCTTTCTAACAATCTTCTCATGCAAGACTTATTGTGGGTTTCATAAGTACTGCAGTGTTGCTTCTGAGGCTAGATCTCCCAGTGACCTAAGTACCTTCTCTAGACCCCCCTTTCTGAACATTTCCACCACTCTGCTACCACACTAGGGAGCAAGCAGCACAAACCTCTGAGGGACACACTGAGCACATTGCAGTCACCTGTACCTTTCAATCTTACAGATTACCCAGAAGGCTCATCATCGCTGGCTGTGGAGACAGAAACGTAGCAGTTTTCACATTTTCTGCATCTCCAACAGGTCAGTACTCTGAAGCGGGCACATTTAGTGCCACCCGGTCTAAGAAGCAACCTTGGGAGCAAAACTAGAAAAGGAGTTTGTTCTCATTCTGGTGAGCAAGGTGTTAAATTCTTCACCCTCGTTGCACACAGGAGAAGTTCTGTGCATAATTTCCCGGTGCAATGTACTGAAAAAGATGCCTTTATTCCCTACAAACTCACACGTACTTCACTTGTGCTAATAGACCCCAGGGGATCCAAAAACAGCCAAATATCCTGTACAGGTTATTTACTTTCATACTGTGAATTATAAACCTTGTCGTGGTGCATTCCAGGTCTCTGAAACAATACAGATTACAAATAAGTTCTTTGTGCCTGACTCCATTATGTCTGCTAATAACCTACTCTTACCCACCAACAGGCAAAGAACAGCCTCCCTATACTCCAACCCTCCTAAATGCTACTAATTCGTTGTCAGTGGATTCTCTTTGACCTGTTGAAAAGCCGAACAGCCTTCTCTTTGTGACACTTACAAGTAAATAAGACCAGTGTAATTCCATATTAAAAGGAGACTTAGTTATAGAAAATCATGGTACTCAAAGCTCTGAACTGGTAGGACGTCACTTCTTTTCCCATGAAAATGCTAGCAGTTACTCAGAAGCCTCTTAATCGGTTTATGAGTTCTCCTGTCTTCAGTCCTTTCCCTGCACAACTTCTGCTATGTACTGATACAAGGAAAGGTAGTATACAAGACCTTATATGGGCCAGCTAGTTTGCTAAGTACTTCCATCAACTCTACAAGGTGACTGTCACAAGTCACATTTTCTTAGGAGAAAACCACTTAACTGAGGTTACACAGCTATCAAGTGGCTCACCTAAAATTGCAACCCAAGGCTGCATGGCTTCACTTGTAACGCTGCATTTAAAGGCCTGATGGACCCTTGGCTTTGCAGCTTCAATTATAACTAAAGGTTAAAATAGAGAACAGTTAAGTCTGTTTACTTATTCAAACCCTTGATGAAATGTTTGGTATTTTGGTAAGGCAACTTGTAGTATCTACCAATATCTACATTTCAGTTATCGAGGATGTTGCTTCTTTATTTTAGCATGTGTCTAAAGGTGTCTGAAATGCTAGTATTTTGGTATATTAATTGTTTAATGAAAAAGTGTTACTGAAGGGTACACTTAGGAATATAGGGATATAAGCATACTTAGTATAGAAATTTGTGGGACTTTCAATGTGCTAGGAGTTTTGTGATTCACTAAGTGAAGCAGCAGTTGTAGTCACCCTTTAGATTTGTTTGACCATCATATCCTTTCTTGTCATCTCCTATTCAAGGCATAGGGCCTTGCCCTCATGGCAGTACATGTTAAGATTTTTAATATGCTAAGGCATATTGTGAATCCCCCAAAGTGGGGTAAGATAGTTCCCAAATTTACATGACCATGTGATTCCCCCTAACCTTTCGTGAACATCCTGAAGGAATATTAAACCATAGAATGCATTGCTTCTACTTCCTCAGGGAAGCAAAATTGCCTCTAAGCAATACCTTTTCCAGGGAACACTATCCAAATAAATTGGGTAGTTGGTTTTATGAGAACAAAGACATGTTCTGATAATAATAGAAGAATGTTTGAGGGAACAGTAGGAGAAATATTTTAAAATATGTCAAGAAGCTGGGTGTGGTGGTGCACGCCATTAATTCAAGCACCCGGGAAACAGAGGCAGATCTCTGGTATACATATTGAGTTCCAGGAGAGTAGGGCTATGATGACTTTTTAAGGTATATATAATAGTGACTACAATTATATTTGTAAACTCTCCAATCTGAAATCAACTTAAATATCTGTCCACAAAATAATTGAAAATATTATACGTGTCCAAAACTATGGTTTTGTATATATTTTCCTTTATTTTATTTTGAAGAACGTTTTAATTAAAGGATGAAATGAATATCCATGTTTGTAGCTTAGAATTAACAAACATTGGGGCTGAATAGGTAGGTGGCTCAGTGGTTAAGAGCACTGGCTACTTTTCCAGAGGCCTCAGACTCAGTTCCCAGCACCCACATGGTGGCTCACAACCAACTCTCACTCCAGTTCCAGGGGATTTGGCCTCTGTTTGCACTGTGTATGCATGGTGCACAGACATACCTGCAGGCAAAACCCACACACATAAAATAAAAGGAAAATCTCAAAAACAGAATTAACAAACATGAACTTTTTACTCTGTTTCAGTTTTGTATATAAAAAAAGAAATTATTTCCATAATCTTTACACAAAGACTCACTGATTCTACATATTTCCTTCAAATTGAAAGGACAAATGTGGAAAAACCATTTGCAAAATATGCAGCATACAGAAATTAACATCCTTAATTTAATAATTTCTTGCAAATCATTAAGGAAAGAAAAACAAGTTAGAAGATGGACAAAAGATGTAACAATACAACCAATAAAATTAATAAATACATTAGAAAATTATTCAATTTCACTGTAAAGAAGTATAAATTAACAAAATGTAACTACCAGTTTTTGTCTACTAAATCTGCCAGGTTTTATGAATTATACTACCTAGTGTTGGCAAAGACACACTGAGACATGTATTCATATTCATTGTTGATATGCTTAAATTCACATATTACTCATTTGTGTGAAGGCCAAGTTGGTGACATATATAAAAGCCTTAATATGTTCATAATATTTCATCTGATAACTAACTGCATTTGAGAAGTGTATTTAAATGAATTAATGAGAGATCTATACAATTATTTATCAATTTATTATAATGTCAGAATTTTTAAAATAAAACTAAGTATCTACTAATAGGAGACTGATGAAACAAACCATTCCAACATTCTAATAAAATATTACTAAAAATTTTAAGAATATTATACAATGATTAAAATTTAAAATTGTTATTTTAAAGAACAATTGACAGGATTATATAAAATACTGTATGAACGAAGTTATTTGTGTGTGTTTGTGTATGTATGGTGGTATATACTGAATCTAACTTTAAGGTTTTATCCATCTTTTCATTACTAGGAATAAGGCTATGAATGCTGTCCTTGAAAAGAAGTCAATTGGAATCATTTTCATAGGACAGAATCCAGAAGCAAAATTACTAATATGAATATATTTTTGTTTTTTTAATTGTTTAATTACTATTTGTTTGTTTGATTGGGGGTGGGGCTCTGGCATGCCATGGCAAAGGGGTATCAGAGAACAGCTTGCAGGAGTCAGTTCTCTCCTCCCACCATGTGAGTTCAGGGGACTGAACTCAGGTCATCAGGCTTGGTAGCAAGGGCCTTGATCTCTGGGCCATCTTTGTCTTTTTAAAACATAATTTCATAAAATGATTTTAATGGTTACAAATGGTTACTATGAACTGGGTGCCACTATGCAGTCATTCATAGTTGTTCAACTCACCTGTAAATTTCTGTTTTTTATCCCCAGGAACCCCCATATCCCATGAGGCATACAAACTTCAATGTTGAGAACCACTCTACTCCTCAAAATAAGTCACCAAGTTGGATAGAAAGCTTCAGTTTGGGTGTTCCATCAAATACGTGCTGTGCAGATGTTTCAGGACTTCGCAAATTGACTTTGCTGACTGAACTCATTTTGGAAACAATTGCTTCAAGCCAGTTTTTCTTTCTTACCCTCCCCCAATCCATGAAAGCCTAAGTATAAAATATATATCTTTATATTCATCTAGTTGGGTAAAAAGGAATTCAGAAGATTACCGTGGAGTCTAATTCCCCCATGAAAGACTATTAATCATGTCTCTCTGCAGGGTCTTTCTGGTATTGAGGGGAGTCAGCATGTGTTTGCGGCTTATGTTCATGGGCATATATAAACATGTGTATGTGCTACAGAATTCTGCCAAAAAATCAAGGTTTAAAAACTGAGGATTGTATTTAATCATGCTTTTCACCTAAATAGCAATTTAAATATTTGATGAACTCTGAACAAACCCTATATCATGTAGCTGAAATTTAAGGAGATTAAATAGACTGTGCCCAAGGTCCTGTTGAGAATTGAACAATGTAAAACCCGTCCTGTCCCAGAAGTTTCTGAGAGCACCACAGCGAACAGGGAAGAGCAGATCAGACTCCCATTTTAGTAAGCATAACAATTAGCATTTGAAGGCCAAGCATGATGGTGCATGCCTGTCATCCCAGCACTTGGGAAGCAGAGGAGGAGGACTCCTGCAAGGTCAAGACCAGCCTGGTTGTTCTACATAGTGAGTTCAGACCACCTTGGGTTACATAAGGAAACTCTGTCTTGAAAAAGACAAACAAAAAGAATTACTTTCTTAAAAATTTGTGATGCCAAGCTATGGTTAAAATCTCTATTTTAGTCATTTCTCTGCTATATAGCTTTATTTTAGCCTTTGTAAATTACTTTTATAATGGTAGAAATACTATAAGCCTGAGTTATGGACCATCCATTTTATAAAAAGGATTTAAGGGTGATTTTCAGGTATAATTATAATTCTGTTGAAGAAGGTAAAGTTTCAGATATGACACTAGCCTAAGGATTAGCTCAAGGTCTATGTTTTCACAACAGGAGTTAATGTACAGAGTTAACTGAACAGTGATGCTGCAGTCCTCTTTTTTCAAGCTTCGGTGGCAGCTCAGCCATTAAGAGAGTTTACATCCATTTCCCCACTTATTTATAACCAGCCTTCCTTTCAGTCCTAGTGCCTGGATCAATGAGATGGACACTAATGCTGCTTCTTTATAATAATAGTACCTAAGAGTATTGATGTTTTTCATTTTTCAGCCAGCACTCTAATGCACAGCTGCTGACAATAAAAGCCCCAACTCTTAACGGAGATCAGTGGGAGTTACAGGCATCTCACAGTTATCAAGGAATTGAACTCCTTAAGAGATAGTTGGGTTTACTAAATTATTCTCTCTAAAATGTCTCTGAGTGAAAAAGAGTTGCCTGGCACAAACAAATCTGTGTTGGGGTGCCAGCATAACTGAGAAGGAAAACAATCCAGTTATTTAGAGCAACAACCAAATGGGTCCATTTGGACCCCCTAGGTCATTTTAACCAAGGTGAGACATTTAGCATCAAATAAATAGATTGTCCTCTGCATTTCATTTGAGAGAATACAAGACACAAATAAGTCTATTAGGGCGAGGGCCTAGGGACTGCTTCTAAGATTCACAGATTAAGGAGCAACTTAGAAGACTGTGCATGCTGGATTCATTGTGAAAGTTTATACTTTTACATGGGAAGAGCTTTCCCTTTCCATGCTCCTTCGGAAGCACCTCTCTTGTCTAGGTTCCCCTTAGAAGCATACTTGGCCATCCACATGGCTCTAGGATCCACCGGCCTTGCCTTCTAGTACCTTTCTCTAAAGGGGTGCAAACAGCACTTCCCAGCAAGTCAGCATCAAAGCAACCTTCCCTGACCCCACCTGTCCGTCATCTCTGCTAAGGGCCAGAAGCTGCTGGCTATGGTGCGAAGTCAGGAAGGCGTCAGGAACTTGTCCTCTGTGGAGTGTGTCAGCTAGCATTCAGCCCTCACAGAGATCGTGTCACGAAGGACAATGTTAGTAAACGACAGGGAAGTAGTGGGAGGCTAAAGCTCAGGTTAATGCAAGCTGATTGTTCAGTGTCTTAAGACTTACGCTGTCTCCAAAAGGCCAAATAAACCAGGGGTTTCTCTGGGTGCTTGGAGAAAGAAGAAACCCTATTCTTGTTTTAGTATCTTGATCCCATTAGTTTATAGACATTGATTATACATAGATTCTTTGTGTACTGATTACTGTATATAGGCACCTAAGTGGTTAGTTATTGATCAAGAAGACAGGTTTGTTTTATAATCAGCACACCCTGACCTCACTCATTTGCTTCTTTTCCTTGGAACCCTGCCCAATAGCTTCTGTGGGATCTCCTTCCCCAATCTTTGGTACTCCTCTTCCACAGTTGGAAAATGGAGCTACTTGTTACTATCCCACGGTTGAAAGGTGCTATGTAACCCCCTAGTGCTCTTACATGTTTTTAGTTGCAGGACTGGAATGGAAAGTCTTACCATTGCAGTATTTCTGAGCAAACAAACGTGCTCCAGTCTTTTCTTCCACACTCTCAGTGCAGAATACTTTCTTGCAGAGCCTAGAGCATTTTGTCAATCTTCTTCCGTTTGTTCCAACAGTGTCCTTGGAAAGAGACAGAATGGAAATTATTTTCCAACAAGTAAAGATAAAGGAAATAAAGTGCCATCCAAAAGCCCACTGTTCGAGAGACTTGACTGCCTAGTGCAGGAATTACCATGGACCACCTTAGAACACTGAGAGCAAAGAGAACAGAATCACATTCCAAAAGAATCCCTCTGTCTCCAAAATCTTGAAGTTTGTGATCTAGATAGCTCTTTATTTCTAATGCAATATGTGCCTCTTCCCCTCCCTGGCCCCATATGACTTGTGTATTTCGCATTAGATGGCATCAGCCAGTGCCATAATCTCCTGTGGCACCCAGACAGCCTGATCTCAGGGTTCACTTTTCCAGAGAAAATATTGTGCTTCCTCATGTTCGTGCCAAATTGCACAGAGCGTAGGCATTTATGTTAATGGATATTTAAGCACAGTCCTGGCAGGTATGTTTTAAGAATACTGTGTATACATTACTGCAATATACAACCTAAGATTTAACCAGGCTGCAACTGACAGGAATGTAATAATCACTCATAGTCTGTCCCTTTCAACTCTTCATCACACATATCTACATGTGTGTACATTTACATGGACATGAATGCACACCCTTCTTTTAAGGCAGACTGTTAGGTCATTAGAGCAAATATTTTACAGGGATGATTCTGCTCTCTCCTTTTTAATAAAGTCCAAAATCACAGGAAGTGAACATTTCATCTGTCTGTTCTAAAGTATCTGCTGTCAGAGTAGCTGAGAGACTCAGTTGGACCAAAAGATATGCAGAGACACAGAGGACATCTAACAAGATTATCAGACCCTATTGCAAGTTCAATGTTTCATAAAATTCATGCACTCTGTCCAGGCAGGAGGAAAGAGTTGACAATGTATGCTACATTTGCATTTCTTTAACCATACCTGTAATATTCCATATTATATTGTAGCCTTTGCATGTGGGTATTATGTAATATAGTAAAAAATGGGTGGCTCTTACTAGCATGCAACCCTTGATTTGTTTACTTTCCCAAAAAGGCTAAGGCTGTATCCTGCACAGTGTTCAAGACCATTAAATGTGTTCTTTGGAGCAGCCTAGTTAACATCCATCAACAGAATGAGTTAAAACACACAGTGAATTCAATCTATCAGGATATAGGTTTTTGGTAGGGGATTGTTAAAAGAAAAGAATAATAAAATAAGATGCATTCAAAGAATAATTGCTTTCAGCCCACTGTCTAAATCAGCAAAGGAACACAGCAGGAAACCTGGAATTGGGTCTTGATAATGGATGAAATGTATTGGAGAGCCAGAAAAGGAAAGACACTGGGGGACTGCAACAGTTAAGCTCAAGTCGCCAATTTGCTGTAAATCCCTTTTGCCATCAGTCTGCTCACAGTGACTGTATATAGCATTCTTAAAACCATGTGTCTTGCTGCAGAAATACTGAAAAATGCTGGTCATCTTTATCTTCCTATGTCCTTTATTAAAACTATATACATAAATTTGTTGTGTCTTTCCTATATCATAATTTGTAAAAGAATATTGGTAAAGGCTAGAGCTTGAGGCCCCTCCGATGGCAGGTTCTGTACATCTCATTTCCCAGAGAAACAGTAGTTCACTCACTCCCAGGTGGATTGGTAGGTGTGGCGTATAGACTCCTCTGTAACATCTCATCTTGTGGACACCCCCTCCTACACTTTCAGTGTTTTCTTTTACATGAGTAGAGCTGAGAAATTAATGGTAATGGCTTTTTGATACAACACTGACCAGGCTAATGGCACTTAATCGTGTTCAGCCTCTGCTCAGCCTCACACGCCTTCTGCCTTTTACTTTGCCATTATGACAGTAAAAAAAAGAAAGAAAACTCTTGCTTTATATGTCTAAACATGCTCTCAGTCTGATTTGCTTTTATCACACTGAGAACTGTGTTTATTGGTCTCCAAAAGTACATCACCTGAAGAAAAAAAAATGCAGTAGTCCTGAGAGAAAAATGTAGTAACCCACTTGCTCCTAAACCACACATTATATACTTAGAGAAATATTTAAAACTGGCATCATCAAGTAAGCTCTTTGAAAGTTCTCCTTCAGGGCTGACAAGGTGGCTCCCTTGGTAAAGTGTCTGAGGAGGAGGACCCGAGTTCAGATCCCCAGCACCCATGTAAAGAGTCGGGTGTGTAACTGCAGGGTGTCCCCCAGGGGTTTCTGTGAGGGTCCAGTGATGGTGGTGTGCCAGAGGCCTTGAATCAGGCCAATGACTCACTGCAGTGAACATTTGTGGGTGGGGCTGATTGGACAAAAGGGTATATGTACTGCATGACACGCCACAGCTCCCCATGCCACTAGGATGAAAGAAGAGGGGTTGCAAAGACAGAGGAGTGAGGTGGGGGCATTGTTTGTTTTGTTTTTAATTAATTTTGGGGGGTTCTTTTTGGGGGCATGCTGCAGGGGTGAGGGATGGATAGGAGGGACTGGGAGGTGAGCAGGATCAGGGTAAGTGATGTAAAATTCCTAAAGAATCCCAACACTATAATCCCAACACTATAATCCCAACACTAAGAAAGCAGAGACAAGAGGATCCCCCCCACCCCCGCCCAAGGCTTGCTTGCCAGCCAACCTCAAGGAAGCAGTGAGCTACAGTTCTAATGAGAGCCTGTCTGAAAAGCAAGGTAGAAAGTGAGTGGAGAAGACATCTGACATTGTCCTCTGATTTCCACACTCACAAGCACTCACACATAGAAATGAGAGTTCCATCAATAAATGCAGCTTTTGCACAAAAGGTTCTTTACAGAAAGAATGGAAATCCCTCTCCCCTCCAATAAGCCAATAAAGAAGGCAGAAATCACTGCAATGGAGAGCGCAGCCAGCTGACGTTTGGTGGCCTGACTAAATAATAATGGTGAACTGGAACCACGTGGGAGAGGCCCAACCTGTACAGGTCAGGCTCAACAGAAAGTACTTTTTTTTATTTAGATTTAGTCTTTAAAAATGCATTTACTTTGTTCTAGGTAAAGACCTTAAAAATCTTCGCTGAAACTGCCATTTGACATATTACAGTGCAGCAGCTACAAACACCTTTAATTTGCATCACAATGTACTAGAAACAAAGGAAAACAAGTTTCTTTCTAGATTAAAAAAGACGTAAAGGAAGCCTCTATATAAGAATCTTATTTAAGTTAGGGTTGTTACCAAGGAAATTTAAGGCATAGACATTCAAAAGAGACATAGATATAAATAAAGATGTAAATATATAGAATGCTTTATATAGGAACATGTAAACATATTAGTATGCACTTTCTTCATGATATAAGTAACAGAAATTTTCAAATCTAATTTTTTCACCATATGCAGTGACAGTGAAAAACTAGTCAGTTTCTCCTTGAATATTAAAATACTCATTCTTGCACAGTAGCACGAGTCAGTGTTTAGACTACCAATTCTAGAAGATCCAGAACTTTAAGATCGAAAACCACACATCTTAAGCAAATATTTTTGAAAATAATATTTGAATATGTTTATGGTCTTAGAAGGAAACTTCTTCATAAACCTTCATTGAAATACTCAAGTCAACTTTATGAATTAGTAGTCTCAGACCCAGCCTCTGACCATGTTAGCAAACTCCCAAATCAATCCAACTGTGGCATATAAAAATTTCAGTGAAGAGAAAACACAATTCACTGTACAAGGAAAGCAAGTTTGGCTGTTAGAACATCGCAGAATGTAGATGACTGACAAATTAGTCAAAATGTTATTAAATTCTACTTACCAATCCACTCTCATTTCACACATAAAACAGCCTGAACAATTAGAAAGCACTTATTAGAGTAATGTGTTTCAGAGGGACCCAATAAAATGCAAACCTGAAGTTGCTTTTGGATCACAAAGAATGTGCATGTGGCAGGGCTACAGGATACTGGAGTTGAGTGTCCTGTAAAAATGTGAAACTATCAAGGAAAAACACCAGGCAAATAATCCAAACTGAAATAGGAAGCACCAACGTTTTTAACTCTTTCCCACCAATTATTTCCTCTAAATTCGGAAGCTATTTCCTAGCTATATGTGTTTTTCAAGCTATAAAAATTACAGTTTTAAGCCAGGCCTGGGTGGCTCAAGCTTGTAATCCCAGTCTTAAGCAAGAGATTGCAAGAATACCTGGCTGAGATACAGAATAAGTTCAAAGCCAGCCTCCATAACCTAGGGAGAGTATCTTAAGGAAGGAAGGAAGGAAGGAAGGAAGGAAGGAAGGAAGGAAGGAAGGAAGGAAGGAAGGAAGGAAGGAAGGAAGGAAGGAAGGAAGGACGGGGTTTTAAAGAGCTGGTGATATAGTGTAGTTGTGGAATGCAGGAGGCCCTAAGGTTACTCCCCAGCATGGAGGAGCAGGGCAGAGTAGTAGATGAATGATTTGATTACAGTTCTTGCTGGTGTAGTGATTCAAACCTGCGAGCCCAGCACTCAGCAGGCTGAGGCAGGTAGGAGAACTGTCAGTTCAAGGCCAGCCTGGACTATATGGGGTGACTATGCAACAAAAAACCTTTACACTTCTGGGCCAGCAGGTAAAGGCTGCTATCAAGCCTGACCATCTGAGTTCAATCTTCTGAACCTATATGGTGAAAAAAACCTGAGCCTCTAAAGCTGGTTTCTGACCTCTGTATTTATGTGTGTGTGTGTGTGTGTGTGTGTGTGTATAAATGAAAAATAAATGAATGAATAAACATTGTAAATAAATAATCCTTTAGACATTTACACTAAGTTGAGGGTAAAAGTCATTTAGTGCTTCCATGTCTAGCCTGTAAACTGAGTGACCTGAGACAACTTCAGATTTTCATTCTGTCACTCCATCAGCACCTCAGTAGGATTAGCTTAACAGGCCATTTGAAGTGCCTTTTTGGTTTTCAGGAGTCTTAGGGTCTCACAGTGTTGCCCAGGCTGGTCTCCAACTCCTGAGCTCAAGTGATCCTCCCATCTCAGAATGCTGCAGCCAGATATGATGGCACATGCCTATAATACCAGAACATTGTTTTTAAATATTTATATTGGTCATAAACATATGAAGTTTTCTGCTTTTTAGTCACCTACGAGTTTTGGAAAGCTGGAGCTATCAGAAACAACTTAATTTCATATGACTCTTTTTAAAGATATTATAGTCCTAGTTGATCACGAAAAATGTTACTTATTACATGGAATCTTTCTAGTGTGAATTGATGTCTTCATAATAATTTTAATTTTAACTCTTAAGAGCCATCATTTTTTTAAACTGTTGACAAGAAAGAAAAGAATAAGAGAGAGAAAAAAGGGACAGGGTTTGAAATCATATGAGGTGTGTGTGTGTATTCACACATGGCTTTTTATTTATATGATTTCTGGGGACTGAACTTGGGTCCTCATGATTACATGGCAAGCACTTTATCAATGGAGCTATTTCCCCAGCTCAATTATTTTTAAACCTTAGCATTGATTATTTTAACCAATTTATGAGGTTATTTTAAATCTTATCATTGTGGTGCACAGCTGTAATCCTAGGAGGTAAAAGTGGTAGGATCTGGAGTTCAAGGTCATCCTTGGCAATATAACAAATTCTGAGTTACATGAAAGCATGTTTCAAAAATGAAAAGCTAATTTTAAATGGCTAAGTTTGCATTGATGGACTATGGGCAGTTACTGGGTTCTGGGGAAGGGGTGTCATTTTCTTTAGTGGTATAGTCATTGATAAGTTGTGCGTGTTCCAGTAAATAACCCTCTACTCATGCAAGCAAACATAATTAAACTCACTGGGTCTAAAATGAAAGCTTGTAGTGGATAGCTGTTCCAGCTTTGACCTGGAAGTACTACCCCTAGTGAGGCTTCCAGTAACTGCCATGCCTCCCTATGACCTGCCCCTGGGGTGGGGCCGAGACAGGAGCCCTTAAGACCCAGGATGCAGATGTGCCGGCTCCCTTTGTTCCCGGTGATCCTGGATGCTGGATGGCAGATCGAGTCAGAGTTCTCCAGAGAACCCTGCTGGACTGCACCTCTCCTCTCCCAGAGCCTGCAACCAACCCCTTTACTGGCTGTAAGCTACCCCAAAATAAACCTCCTTTTTAACTACATGGAGTTGCCTTGATAAATCCCCAAAATAAAGACCAAAGCAGGAAAGGGCTTTCTGAGAAGAAGGGTTTCAGTGAGAGGGAGTGAGAAAAACTCTTAGTTTGGCCATAAATACCTTTTAAAATCTGGAAAAAGCTACAAAACTCTTCACATAAAAGTATATATATATAAACACACATTTTTTTTAAATTTCATAAGCTTCCAGGTGGCTCTGAAATATTTTCATATGGTAGTTATAAATTCCTATGCTCTGTCTGGGGGTCTTAAGTCTTGGTTTAGTGATAAAACATGTTCATCATGAATAAAGCACTGGGCTCCATCTCAGCACCACACACACAACGAAGAATTTCTACTTTAAACTATGTTCCATCTTCCCATAAGCATCAAACCAAATAACTGTACTTGAATGTGACCCAGCACT